TATCGGCACCCAGGGGGGGCCCCCCGGGCCCGGCAGCAGCGGCGCGGGGCGGCGGGCACCTCCGCGCGGGCCGAGGCGCGGCCGGGAGCAGCCGCGCGAGCTGCTCCAGCGGCAGCTGCTCCAGCGGCAGCGCCGGCGCTCGGGAGCCGCGCGCGTGGGCGCCCTCCCGCTGGAGGGCACGAGGAGAGGAGGCGACCGCCCCGCGCGGGTCGCCCCGCGCACCGCGACCACCTCGCCGCGCGCGGAGGGAGTCTCCGGGCAGCCCCTTACGCCACGGGGCCCCTGCGCCGCAGGCGGCCGGCCCCAAACTTGCCCGTGGATCATCGGCCTGGGCACGCAACGGTGGCCATTTCACCGCCTCACCCTAAAGGTCTGGGGGAACCTGCTTCTGGAAAGCGTGGGACTGGCAACCTCACACACACACACACACACACACACACACACACACACACACTGTGCTGTAGCTGTTCCAGCTGTTTGGAGCGATGCAAGCAACGCCAGTTCGGGAATACCGTGCAACGGCTGAACTAGCTGAACCCGCTCGCCGGATGGATATCCAAACGCAATTTTGACAGCGGCTTCAAACACGCAGGCTCGCAGGTCCCGCCTGGGCTACATCTGCGCTTCAGCGAAAGCATTTTAACTTTTTTTTCCCCCCAATACCCTCCTCTAATTGATAATCTCCCCGCAGCGGGGAGCGGCAGCCTCGGCTGCCGGGCGCCATTGACACACCGCGACACCCAAACTTTGCGTGTCCCCAGCTGCTGCCGAGCTCCGCAACCGCCTCCTTCCCCCAGGAAACCAAACAGGCGGCGCCAAGCTGCCCGAGCGACCAGAAAACAGAATAAAATAAGATAAAATAAGGTAAGATAAGATAAAATAAAATAAGTGAAATAAAATAAGTGAAATAAACGAAATAAAGGCAGGGAGCTCGGCGCTGACCCCCCTCTCCTCCCTGCCACGCTCCGACACCTCGGGCAGCAGCTCCAGGGACCCGAGGGCGCTTCGCCCCGGCCACGGGCGGCTCGATGGCGACGGCCCCGCAAGCGGCGGGGGAAGGTGCCCCGGATTCCAACCGCCCCCCCCCCCCGCAACAATCGGTCTCGCAGAGAGGCGCCGGGGGCGGCCCTGAGGACTCACCGGCGCCCGCGGCGCTGAGCAGCACCCAAGCGGCCAGCGGCCACATGGCGGGGAGCGGCGCGGAGCGGAGCGGAGCGGAGCGGTACGCGCCTCGGCCGGGGCTGCGCGGCGCCGCAGCGGGCACGGAGCGGGCGGGGCCGCGCGCGCGGGCGGGCGGGAGGGAGGCGCCGCCCGCCTGATTGGCTGCGAGGCGGCGGCAAAACGGTCACTGCGCGGCCGTTGGGCGCCCCGCCCCCGCCGCCTGCGACAGCGGCGCCTCCCGGCGTCACGCGCATAAATACATATATATATATTTATTTATRTATTTGTTGTTTGCTTCAACCTGCACAAAAACAAGTGTTTTGTCCCCCCCCTCGTTTTTTTTGACTAGCTGAGGCTGCGAGGAGAAAGGTGCCGTGCCCCCTCCGCCCCTTCCCCCCGGAAGGTCCCTTTTCCCCCAAGCGACTCGAGTTTAACCGACTCCCCGGCGCAGTCGCTACAGAGGCGCCCTTCGGCGGGGCTCCCTCCGCCGCGAAGACCGTCTGGCTCTGCCCCGCGGGGTTGGCGCCTCGGGAAAGGCGCCCGGAGGCAAAGCGGGCGCGGGGGAGGGAGCCTGCACAGCGGAAGGAAAGGAGGGAGCGAGGAGAGGCGAGGGGAGGGGAGCGATGACACACGTTTGCTATTTTCGGTCCCCTCTTTCGGTTAATCACCGTGCGTTTCACTTGTAAATAATCTAGAGGAAAAAAAAAAAAAAAAAAAAGCAGCCTTTCTCGTGGTAGCTAAAAGCCATATTGAAAACTCGCTGCTGCCACCCAAGTGACGCTCACGCTGCTGCTGGCAGAACTTAAAACCAGCCTGCTGTCCTCCCTGCTCTTGCCCGCGTGTGGATGGCGAGGCTGATGGGATGAGTACGGCACAAGCGGCACGAGAGCCAAGGCCCGAGCAGGAGCGATCTCAGGCTTTTGCTCGCCTGGCTGCCCGGCTCGGCCTTGGC